GAAGGAACCCATCAGAACTCAGCTATATCAACCTGTTGTAACTAAGCAAGTCTGAATCCTGCATTTGCATAAATGAACCTGGCTGGGAACCAGGGTGAAACTTTTGTTATAAAACCCAAACCCCACCTTCGTTTTACAACAAAGGCTGTGTCTCCCTGTACTGCAAACTGTTCACTGCAATAAAGTCACTTTCCTTCAAATTTCTTTTCAGATAATTTTTGTTTACATCACTCTGTTCTTTCTGGGAGTGCTTAAAAATAAGCTAATTATACTCACAGCTTTTTGTAAATTTTCACTTAAAGGGGGTAAAAGTTTTTGATAAAAAATAATATTTGAATAACATTTGAATGTAAACTAAGGTGGTGTGTTAACTAAATAGTAGACAACAGGAAAATAAAGACTAATTCAAAACCACATACTTAGAAAATCAAAAATTAGTAAACTAGGTATTACAGAAATATATGGTTTAACATCTATTTCACTCATTAATCGAACAAACCTAACATTAAACTATGTTAATGGCATTAAAAATTATAATAATTATGTTATTTTTAGGAATAATAATGGCATTGTGGTTATGTTTAAAACAGTCTTATTTTGTTAGAGGTCTACATGAGATATTTGCAGAGGAAATGACATGGCACATGGAATCAGTTTTAAAATACCGAGGTGGAAAGGGCACAGGCAGAGGTCCAGAAGACCTTCCGCTGGCCATTTGTTGATTGCTGAATCTGGATGATGGGGACATGGAAGTCCATTGTACTACTACTTATTCTCTTTATTGTTGTACATATTTAGAAACTCCTGTAACAAAAAGGGAAAATAAAGCTTTTAACTGCCTATAGATTAAAGAAAAGATTTTGGCTGTCACAGTTCAAGTTCATTCAAAGAACTGTCAATCTCAATTAAAAGATTGAACAAGTATATCACCTGTCACATTAAACCTCACATTAATCTCTTTAAAGACCGTAAATCACAGATCCATGAAGAGTTTTCCTTCCCTCTGTTCCTCTCTCCCGCCTTCTTTTAGTTTCACTATAATAACCACTGCTCTGGGGTTTCGGTAGCCAAGTGAGATCTTTTGCAAGATACTTGCATATTCACAAGACAGATGCACAGAATTCCACAGGTTTAGTGACAAGTGACTGCAAGGATGTCCAATGCATTACCTCTAGGCACTGTTCACTTCTGGCAGGCCTCCACTGCAACCCTGTATCAGCCCAAGCAAACCCCAGGGGTCAGTTGATAGTACTGTCACTATTGACTGTCTTCCAACTGCATTGTGAACTTCTTGGGGGCTAGACACTTGGTCTTAATCTTTATATCCTGCACTTAGACTTACTAGGTACAAAATAAACCTTTGAGGAATAAGAGAACAAATCTGTAAATCTCAAAGTTAGTGCTCATCCTAAAACTAAATATTTTCAAATTTTCCCCAAAATTACTTTAATTCTACTATTGCACATTTGTCAATAAACTGTTTCTGAAACCAAAGTTTGAGTTCTGAAGCCAATTTGCATGTGAATAACTATCTTAATTTATAAGGTAATAAATTATCTTAATTTATTGTTTTCATTAAAGAAAGTGACAGCCTGTGGCTAATCAAAGATTTAGGAGTCACATAAACAGGAATTATAATTAGCATGAATTCATAATTACAAAGACCTTAAAATTTATTGATTGTATTGCTAGCACTGTTTTTTTCTCATACAAATAAGAAAAAAACCACTATTGTTCCCATTTTATAGCTGAGCAAGCAGACCTCAGAGGTTAGGTTACTTGCCGAAGGACATACAGCTATAAGTGATAAAGGTGAGTTAAACCCACCCAGGGTGTCTAACAGCTTTTCAGCAGCCTGAGTGATGCTCTTCCTTTCATGGTTGTTGTGGATTTCTCCCCTACATATGCATTATGCACAGAAAACTCAGTTCTGTAACCTGGGGAGGTTTCAACTTGATTTTTTGTTGTTCCTCTATCTTTATATATTACAAGACAAGAACCCAATGGAAAACAAGTCAGTTAACCTGTTCGGCTTGTCTCTGTAGTAATAATAGCTTACTCTTATATACAGGACTTCTACTAAATACCAGGCACAGTTCTAAACCCTTTATGTGTATCAATGCAGTCCTTACAGCAATTCAAAGATGTAGGTCTTATTAATCATTTTCATTTTTCGGAGAGGGAACTGAGGCTCAGAGAGATTAGATAACACCCACACTGGCATTTCAGCACTCCCAATCTGGCTCTGGATTCCATGTTCTTATTTTTTTCTTTTTCTAGAGACAGAATCTTGCTCTGTTGACCAGGCTGGAGGGCAGTGATGCGATCATGGCTCACTACACCTTCAACCTCCCTGACATAAGTGATCTTCCCACCTCAGCCTCTGGAGGAGCTTGGATTACAGGTGTGCACCACCACAACCAGCTAATTTTTAAATTATTTGTAGAGATGAGGTCTCACTCTGTTGCCCAGGCTGGTCTCTAACTCCTGGGCTCAGGCGATCCTCCTGCCTTGGCCTTCAAAAGTATGGGGATTACAGGTATGAGCCACCACACCTAGAATTCCATGTTCTTAATCATCTGTGACACTGCCTAATATGTACACATTTATTTGGGTTAATCTAAAATACATGGTTTAATCTTTACAGTAACCAAAAGTTACTGTTTACTTACATGTTTTTTCAGGTATGTTTTATAGTCAACATCAAAATCATGAAAATTACAATGATCAACACTAGTGTACTGAAGTAGACATTGTTCTTTTCCATCTTTATCACCAGAGAAAATTTTTGATACATGATATATATTGAAAAAAACTCAAGCAAAGACCATTTTAAACTCAATAATTTGATTTATCAAATCAATAACATCTCTGGGGCTAATCAACTCTATTAAGAGATTATATAAATTACAGTAAAGAGTCCATTGGAAAATCCTTAAAAATGAACAACAGAGTACAGTCTATAAGCAATATTAACTTTAACAACAGGAACAGAGGCTCCCAGCACTACTTTCAAAGACAAAAGAGCAGCCTTTGTTTAAAAGACACGGGCGCAGTGGCTCACGTCTATAATCCCAGCACTTTGGGAGCCCGAGGCAGGTGGATCACCTGAGGTCGGGAGCTTAGCCTGGGCAACAAGAACAAAGTCCGTCTCGAAAGAAAAAAAAAGGAGAAGCTCTGCTCCTTTGCTTTTTTTGTTTTGTTTTGTTTTCGTTTGTTTGTATTTTGAGAAAAGGAGTCTTGCTCTGTTGCCCAGACTGGAGAGCAGTTGTGCGATCTTGGCTCACTGCAACCTCTGCCTCCCTGGTTGAAGCAATTCTCTGCCTCAGCCTCCGGAGCAGCTGGGATTACAGGTGCCCGTCACCACGCCTGGCTAATTGCTGCATTTTTAGTAGAGACAGGGTTTCACCATGTTGGCCAGGCTGGTCTTCAACTCCTGACTTCAATCCCAAAGTGTTGGGATTACAGGCATGAGCCACTGCACCCAGACTCTCCTTTGTTAAAAGACAGTAAATCCAGATGGTTAAGTATTTCACAGGTACAAACAGACCATGTCTTGGGAGATGCTTACATCTTCAGAATCAGAACACATACACAAACCAGAACCCCATGTGGATTCTCTGCATCACCAAAAAAAGCAAAGAGTTCCAAGGAGAAAATGCAGAGGCTTGCCAGGCGTGGTGGCTCATGCCTGTAATCCCAGCACTTTGAGAGCGTGAGGCCAGGCAGATCACGAGGTCAAGAGATCGAGACCATCCTGGCTAACACGGTGAAACCCCATCTCTACTAAAAATACAAAAAATTAGCCAGGCGTGGTGGCGGGCGCCTGTAGTCCCAGCTACTCGGGGGGGCTGAGGCAGGAGAATGGCGTGAACCCAGGAGGTGGAGCTTGCAGTGAGCCGAGATCGCGCCACTGCACTCCAGCCTGGTCACAGGGCGAGACTCTGTCCCCGCAAAAAAAAAAAAAGAAAAAGAAAAGAAAAGAAAATGCAGAGGCTCCATAAATGGATGGTTTCCACAAGCACTGACTGAGGGCCTGCTGTGTGAAAAGTGGTACAAAGCTGCTAAGGACACAAACACTGGTGGAGGTATCCTTACTCATCTCACATCCTTAGCACGGGGCACAGTAGACAGCAAGAACAGTAAACACAAGTCTCTCCTAGAGGGATCACCAGATTTCAGTACATACAGGAGTTGCCTGGGGGAAAGGAGGCTCTCCTAGACAGAGAAGAGTAAGTGAGGCTAAGCAGGGAAGGGCACACTATCACACAAGGGAGCTGTCAAGGTTCTGGCATCTAGAGGTAAACACTTACAGTACCATCCATATAATTTTAGATGCCTTGCATTCATTTATTTCAGTTCACACTGAGCATATTGTTTTCACCAAAAATTATTCAAAGTGAATCTATTGTCACGCTCTCCAGTGTGCACAGAAATAAACATCCCTCAGCACACAGAGCATTGCCCTCAGCAAGCTGTTCTGCTCAAATGCTCAAAAAATGTTTGTGGGGGAGGAAGAGGAGGATAGTGAAGTGTCTAACCATTCAAAGGAAGAGTTTCTCTGGAAGTACTTGGACATGAAAAAAACCTACTTATTAGCTGGCGGTAAGACCCTCTAATATTTCTCTCAATTAAAACAAAGTGTCCCAGCTTTCCCAATATTCTTCAATCCAACCCTAAAACAAGAGTGACAGGTTTCTGAGTACGGTCGAATGCTTTCCACCACAAAGTTATCAGTACTAATTTTTTCTGAACAGAGAGTTGAAAACAGATTTATTTCACAAACATAAACATAATTTCCTGCTATATGTTCTCTGAATACAGAGCACATGATACTGCCATACTAGCCCAAACTGTCCTACTACAGAAACCAGTGATGTTTTCAATCTGTTCCTTCTACACAAACCAAATCCACTACAGGAAAGCAAAGCTGCATGTGACTTTCAAGAAAACCTTTTTTTTTTTTTTTTTTTTTTTTTTTTTTAACTTATTTGGGCTATTGCAGTGTTAAATTTGAAGGAAAAAAGGTATACAGTAATATAATATAAACCTACTTACTACAAGTCTGAGTAAACAAAACAAATGTGTTATTTAGGGTGTAATACAAGACAAAATCCTCTGAAGGTAATTATTAATGCTGAAACAAGACAATTTGGGAACAGACTGAATATGAGAGAAACTAAAAAGTAAAAAAGAAAACCAAATACCCCACTCATCCCCTACCATGTTGCCAACATTTTCCAAAATCACTTGCTATGGGCAAGAGACCACAGAACAACTTCTCTTTAATTTTATGGTAACATTTCCAGTTGTAACTGACATTTTGTCTCACAAAGGGACAAATTAATGGAATTAGCAAGAGTTGCAGTGAAAATGTCACTGCTAAAAAGTGACCCCTGGAAAAGAAGTAGCTACCAGAGCTGTGGGACCTGGTGGCCAAAACAGCTTTCAGTGTGACGTATGTTTTCTTTTTGAGTTTTATGAGAAAAACACTTTTCAAAATACTGTCTGGTCCGAGATATACTCAGCAAATTATACTCAGGAAGGGGAAAAAACACTGTGCAGATAACCACAACTTAGTATGATGACTAGATGTGGGAGGTGCGCCTCACGAGCTTTTAAGAGGACCTCCCAGAAGAGGGAGCGATGGGACAGTTTCAGAGGCAAACAGGAAATAGCCCTGTGAGGGGAAGAGGGTAAAGAAATGGACTCCATGAAGACGGGTCGGCGTGCACAAAAGCTGATGCAAGATGTGCTACGTGCCGCTGGCCCACGAGCCGTGAGACACAGAGGAGCAGGAGACACAAGCATGGCCCTCGGGACGACTTCTGTCTACTATGGTAAAGAGCTTAGACTTAATCCTAGAGCATAGTTTTTAAGACATTATAGGCAAGACAATCTAGGTGGGCAAGGGCAGTTTTATGTGTTTATGGTTGCTATTAACTTCTTTTTCCTTTTTTTTTTTTTTTTTTTTTTGAGACAGAGTCTTGCTCTGTTGCCCAGGCTGGAGTACAGTGGGACAATCTCGGCTCACTGCAACCTCCATCTTCCGGGTTAAAGCGATTCTCCTGCCTCAGACTCCCGAGTAGCTGGGATTACAGGCATGTACCGCCACGTCCAACTAATTTTTGTATTTCTTAGTAAAGATGGGGTTTTGCCATGTTGGCCAGGCTGGTCTTGAACTCCTGAGCTCAGGTGATCCGCCAAAGTGCTGGGATTACAGGCAAGAGCTGCCGTGCCAGGCTTATGGTTGCAATTAATTTCTACTCATGTCAAATGATATTGGTTTTCCATTTATAATAATAAATGTATTTTCGGCTGGTAGTGGTGGCTCACGCCTGTAATCCCAGCACTTTGGGAGGCCGAGGTGGGCAGATCACTTAAGGCCAGAAGTTCGAGATCAGCCTGGCCAAAGTGGCAAAATCCCCGTCTGTACTAAAAATTAGCTAGGCATGGAGGTGTGTGCCTGTAATTCCAGCTACTCAGGAGGCTGAGGCACAAGAATAGCTTGAACCCAGGAGATGGAAGTTGCAGTGAGCTGAGATCGCACCACTGTATTCCAGCCTAAACGACAGAGCACGACTCTGTCTTTGAAAAAAAAAAAAAAAAAAGGTTGTGAAAGTGAGGCTCAAATGACTGATGTTTAGGCGACACCGCTGTAAGAAATGGAGAGCCACTGGAAGAAAGCAAAGAGATACAACTCTGTTATAGAACTCCATCCACACAGACATTTATTGGGTGCTGTGCCAATCACTATTCTAGGCCCAACAGATAGAGCAAAGCCAGATAAATGTATGTTAGGTTTACATTTTAGACAACAAAGAGGATCTAGGTCACAAATAAAATAAACCCAGGTAAAGAGAGAGAATGATATACAACGTAAAATGTGGAGAGCCTTGAGAAAGCAGCAAAAGGGAATGAGCCAGGCCATGACCTACAGGAAGAGCAGGACAGGAGGTGGGAAAAGCTGGAGGCCTGTGGGGCCTACGGGCCTGCTGGAGGGAGTAAGATGGCTGAGGGTTGCAGCAGAGGAGCCAAGGCCAGAGAGGGAGCAAAGGGCTGGGCCCTGCAGGGCCTCGCAAGCCAGGACTTGGCGGTATTCCACATGTGATGGGAGGCCACAGAGAGTTTGGCACAAGAAGGTGATGCTGTCTCTGGAGGATGAGTGCAGAGGCAGGAAGCCCAGGGAGGAGGCCCTCATGGCAGCCCAGAGGAGAAACAACAGTGCCGGGGTAGGCAGTAGTAGGGGAGACAGGAAGAAATGGTGAGAGGCAGTTTGTGGGCAGCGCTGGCTGGATTTACAGATGAACTGGATGTGTAAGACAAGAACGGACTCAAGCAGCATTTTTGTTGATATCTCTTACAGCCTAAGTCTGGGGATGAACAGTGCTATCACCTAATGAAACGGAGAAGACAGAAGAGCCAACAAGCAGGGAGGATGAGACTCAAGACTGCAGATTTTGACAGGTTGAGTTTAAGATGCCTGTGAGCACCATCATAGAACTCTTGAGCGGAGAGTTGAATAAACCAGTCTAGAATTTAGGGGTGAGGCCAGGATTGGAGCCAATAGCATTGGGTGGTATTTAAAGTCTTGGAACTGAATGAGAATGCAGGAGAGAAAAGGCCCAAGCATTAAACCCAGAGGCACTTCAACATCTCCGGTGGGAAGGTAAAGAGCTTGGACTTAGTCCTGAAAGTGTAGTTTTCTGAGATATTGTAGACAAGATAATTTGGGTGATAATGTCAGTTTTATTAGTTACGTGTTTACTTTTACAGACAAAAGGGATTAAGGAAAAGAATAGTGAAGTATGTGGACAGTACGAATAACTGCTAGACGATTCTGCAGAGAAATGAGCCTGATGGTGCAGGAGAGAGAGGGCAACGCTGCCAGAGCGAAGCACTTAGGCAGGAGAGAAAGAAGGAATCCGGCGCCTATACTGAGGGCCTTGCTATGGAAGCAGGGACTGTCCCCACAGTGTCAGGGAGGAAGCCAGAGCAAGCCGACACTGGGAGGAGGGGGCGTTAGTGCGAGGAGCACAGAGCCCTTCTCTTCTGACTGCTTGTAGTTCCTCACTGAAATCAGAGGAAAGCAATTAGGAATGGGACCAGGGAGGGGACATCACAGTTCAAGAAAAGAGCATTCTCCTAGTGTGCAGAGGAGAATGTACCAGGATTGCCAGCCTGGCTCCAGGCTTTCTAGTGAATTGTGGACAACATCTGAAGTGAGAACTCAAGAAAGGATGTATGTTTTCTTCTAGCTACTCTCAGCTGCTCAGGAGCATACACCATGCAGGCAGGACAGAATTTAACCAATTACATTTTTTCCAGCAACAGAGGGAGAGAAAAGTAAGGAATTATTGCATGGTACTAGAAAAATTAATTACTTATATGGCAAAATATTGAGTGGTCATTTCATGCCATAAATCAAAATAAATTCTAGATTAAGTAAAGTGATAAGTAAACTAGAATAAAAACTGGAAGAAATAACAAGCTAATATTTATTTCTTAGGATTGGGAGAGAATCTTCCATGCAGAAAAGCAATGGAAGATATCATTTAAAAATATTCATTTGATGCCCAAAAGGTATATGAAAAAAAATGCTCAACATCACTAATCATCAGGGAAATGCAAATGAAAACCACAGTGAGATATCATCTCCTACCAGTCAGAATGACTATTATCAAAAAGACAGAGGATAAGTGTTGGTGAGGATGTGGAGAAAGGGAAACTCTTAGACACCGTTGGTCGGACTGTAAATTAGCTCAGTCGTTATGGAAAACAGTATGGAGGTTCCCCCAAAAAACTAAAAACAGAACTACCACATGATTCAGCAATCCCACTACTGGATATTTACCCAAGGAAAAGAAAATCAGTATTTTGATGAGATACTTGCACTCTCATGTTTATTGCAGCACTGTTTACAAAAGCCAAGACATGGAATCAACTAAACATCTATCGACAGATGAATGAATAAAGAAAATGTGGTATGTATACACAATGGAATATTATTCAGCCATAAGAACGAACGAAATCCTATCATTTTCAGCAACATGGATGAGCCTGTAAAACATTAAGTGAAACAAGCTCGGCACAGAAAGACAAGTATTGCATATTCTCACTCATATATGGAAGCTAAAAAACTTGACTGCATAGAAGTAGAGTAGAAGAGTGGTTACCAGAGGCTGGGAATGGAGAGTTAGCCAGATGTTGGTTAACAAATACAAAATTACAGAAAGGAAGAATAAGTTCCTGTGTTCTATAGCACTACAGGGTGATTATAACAATTTATTGTATATTTTCAAATAGCTATAAAAGTGGATTTTGGCCGGGTGCAGTGGCTGATGCCTGTAATCCCAGCACTTTAGGAGGCCAAGGTGGGCGGATCACCTGAGGTTAGGAGTTTGAGACCAGCCTGACCAATATGGTGAAACCCCGTCTCTACTAAAAATACAAAAATTAGCCGGGCGTGGTGGCGGGCGCCTGTAATCCCAGCTACTTGGGAGGCTGAGGCAGGAGAATCGCTTGAACCTAGGAGGCGGAGGCGGCGGTGAGCCGAGATCATGCCACTGCACTACTCCAGCCTGGGCGACAGAGTGAGACTCCCTCTCAAAAAAAAAAAAAAAAAGGAAGAAAAAAGAGTGAATTTGGAATGTTCTCAATGCAAAGAAATATCTGAGGAGATAGATATGCTAATTATCCTGATTTAATCATTACACATTATATATATGTATCAAAACATTACACTGTACCACACAAATATGTACAATTATGTGTCCATTAAAATAATAAAAGCAAAACAATTATTTTGAATAAAAATACTAAACTTCTATGTGTAATAACCATACAAAATTAAAAGGCAAATAATTAGTTGAAGATAAATATCTGCAATAAATATGACAATTTGAAGCCCTTAACATGTAACCCCTTCATTCAAATCTACAAGTACACTAAAACTGCAACTGAAAGCAGCCAGAAGCAAAAGCAGTTGAAAACAACAATTAAAAGCTGATAAATCACATTTTACCTCCCGCCACACTTTAAACAATAATCAAATTTGATTTTTGCTATCATATTAGAAAAGACAAGAAAAAAATACTCAGGTGAGGGTCCATGAAATAGATAAAAGTCATAGACATTGCTAATGAAAGTATAAACTGGCACAACCCTTCTAAAAAGCTAATGATGAATACACACCAAGAGCCTTAAAAAATGTAATACCCTTAGGCTGTAAAAATTTGTGGCCCTATCTTTGTACGTATAGAGATGCTTATTACAGCACAAGTTATGCTTGGCACAAAACTGGCAACTACCTAGATTTCCAACAACAGGAAAACAGTATGTTAATGACATGAGGCAATGCTCACTTCATAAGGGGAAAAAACAGGAAACAAAATTGTTTGTATGCTACTCCAATTTTGGATGATATGCCCATATATGTGTGTGTGTATATAAACCTCAAAATGCTTGAGGCTATTGCAGACTAGTGATTCAATTTTTTTCCCCAGCAGCTTTTTAAATTTTCCTGTCTTCAATGGGGATGCACTGCTTTTACAATTATTTTTAAAATAAAGACTAGGGGCACTTTCATGTTAAAAAGATCTAGGCACTGTGGTTAAACATGAGCTGACCGGCAGAAAAGGTGACTAAAAAGCTATGGTCACAGTCACCATTTCTAGAAGACTATGCAGGTACAAACACCATTTTTATATGGGGTTTTGGAAAACTAGCAAGGGTCTAGACAAGAATGACCAGGACAATAAAGCATTTATAATCAGCTACCACAAAAAGAAAAGGTCAAGGAACTACAACTCTGAAGCCTTAGAAGGCTGGTAGAGAGTGTGAACTGTCAACACACCAGATAAACACCTTCAGGACTGCTCATAAAGGGACTCTGCATGGGACGAGGTGCTAGACGACAGGACTTCAAAAGTTTTTCTAAGATACAATGGCTAGAAAGAAGTAGAAAAGGGGAGACGGCCAGAAATTCTTTTTCTGGTTTTTTTTCTTTTAGATCGAGTCTCACTCTGTAGCCTAGGCTGGAGGGCAGTGGCACCATCTTGGCTCTCTGCAACCTCTGCCACCCAGGTCCAAACAATTCTCCCGTCTCAGCCTCTCAAGTAGCTGGGATTAGGCACCTGCCACCAAGCTTGGCTAATTTCTGTATTTTTAGTAGAGACAGGGTTTCACCATCTTGGTCAGGCTGGTCTCGAACTCCTGACCTCACGATCCACCCGTCTCAGCCTCTCAAAGTGCTGGGATTACAGGTGTGAGCCACCGAGCCCGACTGTTTTTTGTTTTGTTTTGTTTTGTTTTTTGAGATGGAGTCTCACTCTGTCACCCAGGCTGGAGTGCAGTGGTGAGATCTTGGCTCACTGCAACCTCTGCCTTCCAGATTCAAGCAATTCTCCTGTCTCAGCCTCCAGAGTAGCTAGGACTACAGGAGCACACGACGCCTAATTTTTGTATTTTTAGTAGAGACGGGGTTTCACCATGTTGGCCAGGCTGTTCTTGAACTCCTGACCTCAGGTGATCCACCTGCCTTGGCCCCACAAAGTGTTGGGATTACAGGTGTGAATTCCAGGCAGGAATTCTTTTAAAATTGTTACTCAGAAATCAGCATCTGCAATAGCGAAGACTTGACTTTAAGAATGGTGAAATATTTCCTGTCCAAGGGGGACACAGTGTGGAGAGGGGAACTAGAGGCCTTACTAGTCTTTCTTCTAATCCTGTCCTGAGCTTCAACCCACACTCCAAATTCAGAGGAATCTTTCCAGGGTTCTGCAGCATAAATCAGCATCTTTTTTTTAAACACTGGGTTTTTATTCTTAGACTAGCCCTGTATTAAAGGAGCACTACACAGCAAGACCAGGGAGCAGTTCAAATACAGTTAAAGATGAAATCTCTATATGCTACTTAGCTACTCAAAGTTTGTGGTATAGAAAGAGAATAGGGGAAAGGGACTGGATATAAATGCAATACATAAAGAACACTGAACACTATGGAAAGTGAAAACTTGTCTAAATTCTATTGTTTACGTTTTAGCACTTCCCAGGAATGCCTGTGGTGAAGTGAGAAAAACACAGGTTTTGAGGGCAGACGTTCCTGGGTTTAAATCCCTGCTGAAATGCTTACTAGCTGGGTGACTTAAGTTTCAATTTTCTCATCTCACAAGGTTTGTTTTGATACTATTTGAGATACTGTGGTACTAACTATGAAATGCAAAGTACAGAAGTAACACATGCACATGCTTAATAAGTAGTTTCTTTTCATTAATTCATTAGAGTTTTAATAGAAATAAGCAGAATTATACTTATATACCTTTATATACCTATAATGGTATGACTGATATTCTGTGCCACATTAATTTTACTAAATGAAAGAAAAAATCCCAGTGGTTATTTATTTTTTGATCACATCATTGCAATTACTATGGTAATTCTTATTACATATACTTTCATTTTCAGTTAAAAAGAAACATAATTAGAACTGATGAGTCATCTTCATGTAGTAAGTTTCTGACTGTTCAATTCCATTTTATCTACTGCAGTATTTATTTCATAGGTTTTCAAAACCAGAATTAGAGACTTGAAAGTGAATAGCATATTAATAAGTATCCTATGCTACTCTTTTATACAAATACTTTAAATGATTCTTAAGAATACAAAAGGATATTAAATAGTTCAATATTATTCCAATGCTTCTTTAGTTATTTCCCCTATCTTAGGGTAAACACCATTTACTTTCTTAAATAAAAACAAATTAGCCAAATTTCAAATGCTTATTCATTTTATTTTATTTTAGAGACAGGGTCTGGCTCTGTTGCCCAGGCTGGAATGCAGTGGTGCCATCACAGCTCACTGCAGCCTCAAACGCCTGAGCCTCAAGTGATCCTTCCATTTCAGCCTCTCAAGTAGGTAGGGTTACAGGTGCATGTCACCATGCCTGGCTAATTTTTAAATTTTTTTGTAGAGTAGGGGGTCTCACTATGTTACCCTGGACTGGTCTCAAACTCCTGGCCTCAAGTGATCCTCCTGCCTCGGCCTTCCAAAGTGCTTGGATCACAGGTGTGAGTCACTGCTCCTACCCATATACTTATATTTATGCTATGGGCATACCTTTACAGGGAAAGCCAGATGAATATTTAAGTAGGAGTGAGAGTTTCTCAGCTCAGGTGGCCACTTGACTTCTCCCCTGCTCTAGAAGTTTATAAAAACCATTAGGCAACTACCAATCTTCTGAGAAAAGTACAAGCTCCATCACAGTTGCCTTCAACAGTTTAATCAGCAGAGCTACAAGATCCTACAGGTTATTTTCCAGCACACACCTCTAAAAAGTTAAGACAAAATCATGAAGCTCCATATGAATTCAACAAAGTCTCTTGTTAAGGCTGACAGCTAAAATTTTCAAAGATTTCTTTTTGTGGTTTTAAAATTTAGTTTTCTGAAAGGTATAATTTTTGCTGTCAAGTTATACCATGTTCCAGCAAAAAGGTAATGAAACAGAATAACTGTATTTATTCATGATACCAAACATTTATGATAGACAACAAAACGTTGTCCTGATTCACTTCTAAAACACTCTATTGCTATAATTATTGATCACACAATGGTGGTATATAATCATTACAAGAAATCCCAGAAAGGTAACATTTAAGCATCACAACCCTAATCTCGATGCTCTATTTTTATGTAGTTTAATACCTAAACAAGCTGTTAAAGTGCCAATTCCCCTTCAATATAGAACACCGTCTTAGAGAATTTCAGGTCATGCCCAGTATGACAACTTAAGACAGGGTATTAGAATAAAGAATCAGCTACGTCTTAAAAACAAACTGTCTTAGAGCCAAAATTAACAGACAAGATATAAATATTTTGGTATTACAGGACATAGATACTAACTTTATTTAAACACTGTTACATAAATATAAACCAGCTTTTAAAAAAACGAATATACACTTACACATATTGATATATGA